AAGCTCGGGTCTATGCTATGACGGAGGCGGATGCTCGTGCCAACCCGGACTCCGTTGCGGGTAATTCCTTAAACCCACTTATTAGTCTATTATAAAAAGTAGGAGTGTGGAACTTGTAAATTTATAACCCCGACGAGTTTGGTCGGGTTTGAAGGGAAAAAGGGGAGGAGAATCCTCACCCTGGGCGAAAACCGCCCGGCTTTGACGAAAGCCGCCCGGCTTTCGTCTTGATTTAATTGGAATAATACCACGACAACGAATGCCGGCCGGCTTCCACTGAGAACCGCCCGGCTTTCGTCGTGATTAAATCAAAAATTTCTCGCAGCTGAAAGCCGCCCGGCTTTCATGGAAGCCGCCCGGATTTCGTTAAGCCTGGGGATTCCTGCGCTGCTGAAACCCGGCCGGGTTTCGTAGAAACCGGCCAACCTTCGAAACCATTCCACGAATAAAACCACGCGACGAAAACCGGCCGGCTTTCGTGAAAGCCGCCCGGCTTTCGTGATATTATTCTGGGAATTTTTCTCGCAGACGAAACCCAGCCGGCTTTCGTGAAAAGCGGCCGGCTTTCACCTGGATTGGTCCTAAAACGGTCCTAAAGGTTAGAACCCGGGAAATTTCGGAAGGGTATCGAACGGACCCCACCCGAAACACAACCAACATACTCTACGAATTAAGAAACGAACCTATTAATTAGATAGTGTATCTTACATTACTTATGAATGTAGGAACACTAAAGATAAACGGGAGAGACGCAAGAATCCTTATTGATACCGGGGCGCAACGATCATTTGTGAGTGAGGCGTTCGCCAGCGGATTCAACGGACCACTTGTACCGATGACTCAAACCCTATTGGTGTCCACGCCTCTAGGGGATGATATCGAAAGGAATAGCCACTATCCATCGTGTGAGGTGGAAGTGGAGGGCCAAACCTTGACGTGTGACTTCGTACCGCTGAGCATGATCGAGTTCGACGCGATCCTCGGGATGGATTGGCTAGAGAAACATCATGCTAGGGTTGATTGTTATACGAAGGTTCTTGAACTCGATGACGGTGAAGGCTTGACCTTACGTTTCGAGGGAGATAGAGGCAAATCAAACAGTTGTATCATATCTGCCGTGAGAGCGAGGAATATGATGAGAAAAGGATGCCACGCATATCTAGCTTACGTGGTGGACAAAACCAAAGAAGAAGTAGACATCAATGATGTGAGAATAGTGTGCAAGTATCCGGATGTCTTCCCAAAAGACTTGCCGGGGCTTCCACCCGATAGGGAGATTGAATTCGTGATCGAGGTCGAACTTGGCACCAAACCAATCTCTATACCGCCATACAGAATGGCACCCGCTGAACTTAACGAGTTGAAAACCCAATTGCAAGAGCTATTGCATAACGGTTTCATAAGGCCGAGTCACTCTCCGTGGGGAGCACCGGTCCTTTTCGTGAAGAAGAAAGATGGAACACTTCGAATGTGTATTGACTATCGTCAACTGAACAAGGTCACAATCAAGAATAGGTATCCCTTGCCTAGGATTGATGACTTGTTTGATCAGCTCCAGGGAGAGACGGTGTTTTCGAAGATCGACTTGAGGTCGGGGTACCACCAACTGAAAATAAAGGAGGATGACATACCGAAGAGTGCATTCCGCACAAGGTATGGTCATTTCGAGTTCCTAGTTATGTCGTTCGGGCTAACCAACGCCCCGTCGGCATTTATGGACTTGATGAACCGGGTATTTCATGAATACTTGGACCGGTTTGTGATTGTGTTCATAAATGATATCTTGATTTACTCGAAGAGTGAAGAAGAGCACGAGGAGCACTTGATACTTGTTCTTGAGACACTACGGGAGAAGCAACTCTATGCCAAGTTTTCCAAATGTGAATTTTGGCTAAGGGAGATTGGCTTTCTCGGGCATGTGGTTTCGGGATCAGGGATTGCCGTAGATAACAAGAAGATTGAGGCCATTACTGAATGGGAGAGGCCAAAGAACGTCAAGGAAATTCGTAGTTTCCTTGGATTGGCAGGGTACTACCGAAAATTTGTGGAGAAGTTCTCAGTTTTGGCATCGCCATTGACAAAGCTCACTTGAAAGGGGGCCAAGTTTGTATGGGATGACCGATGTGAGAAGGGATTCCTTGAACTGAAGAAGAGGTTGACCGAGGCACTGGTACTCGCACTACCCAAACAGGGTGTGGGGTACGAGGTCTACAGCGACGCAAGCATCCAAGGGCTTGGATGTGTGTTGATGCAGAATGGGAGGGTGATTGCCTATGCTTCACGACAGTTGAAGAAGCATGAGGTAAATTATCCCACTCATGACTTAGAACTGGGGGCGGTGGTGTTCACATTGAAGATCTGGAGACATTATCTCTACGGGGAAACATGTCATATATACACCGACCACAAAAGCCTGAAGTATGTGTTTACTCAGAAAGAGTTAAACATGAGACAGAGACGGTGTATGGAGTTGATAAAAGACTACCACCTAGTTATCGAGTACCACCCCGGTAAAGCCAACGTGGTAGCGGATGCCTTGAGCCGAAAGAATTCATCTGGGGCATTATTGACTAGCTTGAGGGCATTGAGAGCCCAAATGGAGGTATCTAGCGATGGTGCCTTGTTAGCTAGATTCGAGGTGAGACCTACATTACTTGATGAAATCAAGAAGGGTCAAGAAACCGACGAAGAACTTGTGAAGATCCGTGAACGCATGCTAGCGGGACCGGTTGAGGATTTCAGGGAGAGAGACGACGGTCTCTTATTATTTCGTGACCGAGTGTGTGTACCGTTGGATGATGAGCTCCGAAAGTCATGCACCCGGGAGGCACGAAGATGTACCGTGATCTGAAGGAAAGTTACTGGTGGTCGGGTATGAAGAGGGAAATAGCCGAGTACATCAGTAGGTGTCTTACTTGTCAGCAAGTTAAGGCAGAACATCAGCATCCGGCTGGGTTACTACAGCCACTTTCCATTCCTGAATGGAAGTGGGAGCACGTGACTATGGATTTCGTGGTGGGGCTGCCTTGAACGGTTAAGAACTATGATGCCGTATGGGTTGTGGTCGATAGGCTCACAAAGAGTGCACACTTTCTACCTATCAACACTACCTATGCACTGGAGAGGTTAGCCAAGTTATATGTGGACGAGATCGTGAGGCTACATGGGGTTCCTATAACCATTGTATCCGATAGAGATCCGCGATTCACATCACGATTTTGGCCGAAATTCCAAGAATCTATGGGGACAAAGTTGAAATTCAGTACAACTTTTCATCCACAAACGGATGGGCAATCTGAGCGCCTGTGCATTGGAGTTCCAAGGGAGTTGGGACAACCATTTATCACTTGTGGAGTTTGCCTATAACAACAGTTATCAGGCAAGTATAGGCATGCCTCCATACGAGGCATTGTATGGGAGGAGATGTCGTACACCGTTGTGTTGGGATGAGGTTGGCATGGCCAAACTCGAGAGCACGGAATTGGTGGAGATCACCAAGTCTAAGGTGAAGATGATTCGTGAGAGACTTAAGGCGGCCCAGGATAGACAGAAAAGTTATGCCGATAAGCGCCGAAGAGCCTTGGAGTTTAAGGTGGGAGATGAAGTATTTTTGAAAGTTTCACCTTGGAAGGGAATCATCCGATTTCAGAGCCGAGGGAAACTTAACCCACGATACATAGGGCCATTCGTGGTTCTTGAGAGGATTGGGGCCGTGGCATACCGATTACAGTTGACTCCAGAATTGGAGAAGATACATAACGTATTCCATGTGTCTATGCTTAAGAAGTATATGCCGGATCCATCTCATGTATTAGAAAAACCACCCGTGGAAATACGGGAAGACTTGAATTATGCCGTGCAACCGGTGAGAATACTTGACAGGCAAGTCAAAAAATTGAGAAGCAAGAAAGTTCCAATGGTTAAAGTTCTTTGGAAAAGTGACCGAGTCGAGGAGGAAACTTGGGAAACGGAAGCTTTGATGAAAGAGCAATACGCGTTTTTGTTTGAATGAGCATTGTGAATTTCGGGGACGAAATTCCCGTTAAGTGGGGGTGAACTTGTAACACCGACCCCGAGCATATTTACTTTTAGTAAATTATGTAATAAACCTTGAAGGATGATTTAAGAAATTGCGTGATTGTAAATTTTTACTATTTCTTTTACGTGAATAGTAAATTGCATGTGGGGCCCACAGCGGGACCGGGGACCGCCCGATAATTCTTGAACCACATATCATATTCATCTCGGTCTAGATAATATGTATATGGTGGTGGATATTTTATTTGGGCCATAAGAAAGGCATGGAGTTGACCGGTTGGTCAAACGGGGCCCAATTACCAGTATTGATAATTTAGCGGATAACAGCCCGAAATGAGTTTCGGGGACTCCTAAATTAATGTTGGGGAATGTAAATCGTTTCTAAAGGTCCATAATTATTAGGAACGCGTGATATATTTTATTTGGCCCGATAATATAAAATATAATTAAAACGGACCGAGAAATACAACTTTCGGGGCCGATTGTACACACCGGGACATAACGGGATGACCTCCCACCGAAGTGGGGGCCACCCCACGTTTTTAGGTGTGTTAGCTAACTAAATAATAGTTTGGGGGACAAGCCAAAGTGGCTTGTGCGGACAAGAAGAGGGGAGGAAGTCTCATTGAGACAAAACCTCATGCCAATGCCTATTCTAGGCATTATTGGCATTCTTGATTGAGGAGAAACCATTCCCCTTATCCTCTTGCATTCCATACGACCAACCACTAAGAGAGAGAGCTCTAGGAAAGCTCCTCACAGAGCTGAAGCTAGGAGAGAGCAAGAAAGGAAGAATCCCCACACAAAAGGGCTAGAAATCAAGGTAAGAACTCAAATAGTTCTTTTAACTAGTTTATTTGTGTATGATTTATAATAAATCATATGGTGGGTTAAACATGATTTTCTACACGTTTAAAAGTGTAGAATATTGATATAGAATGGTGGTATTTAACTTAGAAAAGTTGTGGAATCGATAGGAGTCGAAACCGCCGGGAAACCGCCATTGTTGGGGACTGTTTTCGAGCTGCAGGCCCGAAAGCCGCCCACCTTTCACGAAAGCCGCCCGGCTTTCACTTGATTTTCAGATTTTTCACTCTTGAACGGCCTAGAACGAGGACAGATCGAGGGGGTTCCGCTAGGGCAGCTAGTTGAGCACATCACAAAGTGAGGATGGCTGACTTTATTGATTATAATTAGTGAGTTAATTTCATGAGATTACCGAAGGTAATTAAATGTGTTTTTATGGATTATTAATGATTAATAATGCCTAAAAATGAAAAGACTAAATGTCCAGAGAAAAAGGAGCATGATATACAAATTTAAGAATAAATTGTGTATGTTCATGTGTTATGACTATGTTGACTTGAAAGTGGAATTTATTATGAATCATGTGTTGAAATATACTTTTCTTCATATTAGAATATATGAGTGATTAAAAGTGATATTTCGGATATTGAGATAAATGATGTTTTCAAAGGAAAATCTGTTGGGATTGTCTATATGACTATGAGTAGAGAACTTGGTTTGTTGATATTAATTTGACTAGTATTAAGATGCTAGTTGGACATTAAAATGAAATGTTGCTAAGATTGATCCTAAGGTTGGATTGTTAAATATTATGCCTTAAGTAGTCTTAAGAGATGCTTTAAGGTAGGAAAGTATGAACTTTAAGTTATACTAGGGGTAGGCCTTAAGGGATACCCAAGATAGTGTAAATATTAAATTGATCCTAAGTATAGGATTGGCCTACGGGTGTGATCGGTGATTCTTGTGGATAGCCGGTTGAATTATGGAAATAGTAAGGACCATGGCCCTTCCCGACTCTAGAGAGCGGGGTTGGATAGCATGGACTTACATCGTGATCACGGGTTAGGGTGGAATCCGAATCGGAGACCTAACTAGGTTCCGGTAGCGGTAACACATAAGATAGGACCCCGAAGGGCCTTACCTTCCTACGGGATGATGGGTACGAGTCCAGGGGCGGGATGTTGGAGTCCGAACCGGGAGCCTCATGAGGTCTCGGACAGCGGTAGCAAGTCCCGTAGAAATAATAAGACCCAAGGGTTGGGTTGTGCAAATGATAAATGAAAAGGAACATATAAGAAGGGCCGTGTGCCGACAAATGAATAAATTCACTTATTATAAAGATAATAAGTGGGAAATATAAATTGTTATTTATATTATGATATCACTCTATTTTGAGGGTCTTGGAAATTAAAATGTTGATTATACTTAGTATAGTTGCTATTGTACTTGTCAAATATTTCCAAGTACTGACCTCCCCTTCACGGGGGAGGCCACCTCACAGTTTCAGGTAGAACTTGAAGGTTGCTACCGGTGCCCGTTGTTTCGGGGATATTCAAGGGAGAAGACGTGGTTCGTGCTTCTTCTGTTTCCTGTTTTCAAAATAATTATAACAATGCTCATGGATATTATTTTTGAACAATTACTTTGGGGGCTTGTATGCCTAGTTATGCCAAGTGTGGCTTGAACAATTGTATTAATGCTTCCGCTGTTTTAAATGAATGTTTTACATTATGTTTGTTATGGATGTACTATGTGTGAATGATATTCATGACGCTTTGTATAGTATGGATGAGTTGGACTGCGGTTGACTATTCGTACTGTACGGCGGGTTGTTGACGAGTTCGGCTAGGTCCGGGGCGTGACAGAACAACGGAGTGTCTATCCCAATTTGCAGTTATGATAACTCAGAGACTATTTGTTTGGATATCCAGATGAGATATTGGAGATGAAATTGTCTGGTCAAAATGAGTTATCGATTGTACTACTCTGATGTACATGGGTCGATCCTGTGAGGGGGGGTGAAAAAACATCACAAACATAGCTTACTTGATGTAAATCATGCACGGGTATATCACAAAAATGAGCCGTTCATTTTAGCTCAACAAGCAGCCCAAGTTTATTACGCTGACTATCCGACTACACGTCAAACAAGTTCTCCATGGGTTTGCGCATGCACACTTAGACCAAGAAAAATTGTTTCTCATGGACAACATAAAAACGTTGATATATATTGATGTTTATCAACAAGATTTTTTTGATCCCCCGATTACTGACACCATGAATGGAAACATTATTTTGGAAGATTCAACTGGTGCAGAAATAGACCTTGACCTTAATGAAGCCAATGATGGTCCTAATGGAAATCAATACGAAGAAGACTGGAACTTTCTCACAGAAGACACAAATGAAGAAGATTATGTTGACAATGAGGAATCCGAAGACGAAGATGAATAATTTGTAAATCTATTTTTCCCATTTCATTTTATATGTACTCAATGTACTTTTATTAAAACATTATTGTATTAATATTTTTTACTTCGTTTGAATTTTTATGTTATGGTCTTGTCTGGTCTGGTCTGGTAAATATCTGGTCTCTGTGTATTTTACAACTATCTAAGTTTGATCTAGATTAGTCTAGCCTAATATAATCTGAATTATTTTGATCTGAAACTAAAAACAGTCCAAGCAAAAACATAAATATATATATTTATATATTATCCCCACAAATATAATTTAGAAAATGATAATATATATTATCCCCATAAATATAATTTAGAAAATGATAAAAAAAATAGTACTACCTCCGAATTAAAGGGTTGTATTAGTCATATTAAATTGTCATAAGAACACACACACCCAAACCAGATGAATTTTTGATAATACAAATTCAAAATTCCTAATATATTTGTTATTGTTGAACAAAGATTTTTAATTTTGAATATGGAATCTGACGGTCTTATGGACGCATTTTCAGTTTGGCACAGACCAACTCCCATCCTAAACCCACCCAATTAAGTAATTTAAGCCCGAAATAGTAGTTTGGAATGGAATGGACTGCGTTTAAACCGAGCCAAATGTGGCTTGACCGTCGGAGCTGACAACCTAAGTAATTGGAGCTTTTGGCTCGGAAAATACCGTCGCAACGGCATCCCAAAGTAACTCTAACCGTTCGATCTGACACCTTGGTAAATGGTGATGTTGGCACGGATCATTTCCGAGGCAACACCGAAAATTAAAGGGCGGCGGATTAGGTTGGAACGGATTATGCCTTACCAATTCCGAGCCAATGTCTGAAGTACATAAAGTGTACATAGACATTTCTCGCAGTATTGAATCCCTAGCAGAGAGTGGCCTCCGGCCTGCACCAGTGCGATAGCCAGCGACGTTTCCAACAACAAAATCAAACTCCCATCCTCTTCGTGCCTTGCCATTTGTCCAGCATCTCCATCCACGCCTCTTCTCCAACATCTCCCGCCAGCATCTGTAGCCTCTGCTTTGCCGCACAGGTTTTGTTCATTTCGCTTTTTGAATAACTGCGTATATTTATTTGTGATTGTTGAATAATATGACAAATAATGTTTGATTCTTCATGGCTGTTCCATTCATATTTTCTCTGTACTACATCTGTAGTCACGTTTTTTTCTCTAGCATATTTGGAACTTGAAATCTCCACTATCATATATACTACCTCCGTCCGTTAAAACTTTACCAAAGTTGACCGGCACGGAGAATAATAAAGTAAAAACTGTGTGGTTGAGATTTGTGCAGAGGAGAGAGAAATAAGAGAAACCACAAAATATATTATTAAAATGGAAAGTGGCAAATTTTTTTGGGACGTCCCAAAAAGGAAAGATGACCAAGTTTTAAGGGACAGAGGGAGTACATTTTTTTAATATTTCAAAATTTCTTTATTGTGTTGATTTTATTTTCAACTCTTTGTAGTTTATTTCGTTTTCTAATATATGTTCCTCTAGAATCTTTTTAAATTTAGTATATTTTGGTGATTGTTTTTGTTGGAGATATTTAATTGTGAATCAAGTTGGTCATAGATTAGCTTTATATTTAATCCTTGTATTTAATTAGTGCATGAATTAGATAGAAATCAGGCCAAGTGTTAGGCCCATATAAACAGGCTAAAAGCCTGGTACGCCTAACCTAAACCTCGCCTATAAAAAGGGAGCCGAGGTTTAGGAAGAACTCCTGCAGAATACTCTGTTTTTGTTAACGTAGTTCTTTCTGTCGATTTTTTGCTATGTAATTTTGTTTCTTGCTCAAAATTTGTAAAAGTTACACCTTTGGAATCGCCTTTTCAAAGCGATCAAAGGGTATACTTCAGATTGTGTTTTACGCAAATTCAGATTTCGAGATATCTCAAGCAGGGGTTGTCGACATCCTGCTTTTTCACAGGTTCTGCTACGTTTTTCGAGCTGAAAACTTTACACGAAGATCTCGACATTCTACTCTACAGGAAACTACCTTCAGATTTTGTTTATCTGATTTTTACAGGTTGCAGGATTTCGACATTGAGGATTTCGACATCTAGGATTTCGAGATCTTGATTTCGAGAAAAGGATTCGACATCTGGTCTCGACATTTGACTTCTCAGATTAAGATTTCGAGTGATTAATTTCTCGACATTTCAAATCTCGAGATCAACATCTCGAAATTTGAAATCTTGAGATCCTAATCTCGAGATCCTTAATCTCGAGCCCAAATCTCGATACCGGGCCTCCTTTATCGAAATCTTAGATTTTGATATTCAGATCTCGACATCTGATTTTTCGACTTTCTGCCTCTGAAAATCTTTTGATCAATTTTCTCGAAACGGTCAGTTTAGTACAGCAATGGCTTCAGAATACAATGCACAAGGGAAAAGACAGTGAAGGATGTCAGATCTCGGATAGATTTGGACGAAATTGACCTCTGCACACTCTATGAACATCTGAAGCAATTCGTCAACGAGGTTGCCTGTGCTGAGGATCATCACACCACAAATCCCTTAGCTCTAGTAATGGAGGCTCAGCCAAGAAGGACAACCACTTCACTAAAGAAGAAAAAGAAGAAGGTAGTGGTTGAATCAGATGATGATGATAGTGATGATGACAAATCTGATCTAGAGGCTGAGCTAGCAGACTTACAGAAGAAGATGGCACTGCTTGCCAAAAGATTTGCTAAGAAGAACAGCTCATCCAACAGGCTGAGAACTTCCTCCTCAAATTACAAGCAGAAGAACCATGATCAAGGATCTTCTAGGAAGGCATCATCAGCAGAAGAAGCTCCTAAATGCTATAATTGCGGCAAGCCTGGACATGTGATCAAAGACTGCCGCCTCCCAAAGAAGAAAGATGTTAACTTCTACAAGCAGAAGATGTTGTGGAATAAGCAGAAAATGCTGATGGTGCAGAAAGAAGAAGAAACATCTGCCATGATTGCTGAGAATGAGAACTGGGCAGAAGATTCTTCTTCTGAGGAGGAGGAGGAGGAAGACAACTATGCCCTTATGACACGTGTGGAGGAAAATGAAAGAAAGGGTGATGGTGCGATCCCCGAAAGCGAGTGCTCAACTAGCTCTGTAAGTACCTCACATACTTCTCTAAATAATCAAATGCAGTCCTTACTTGAGAAGGACAATCTAATCAAAGAACTAAAGGAGAGACTAGACAATAATCACAGGGTTCTGAAACAGAATCTAGACCAAAAGTCTTCCTTAAGTGTTCAACTTGAAATTGCAAAAGATCAGGTCAAAAAGGTGTCCTCAGATTTTGAAAGCTTTGAACTAAAGATAGCTGAATTAACTAGGAAATTTGAGGACAATGATCGGGAAAAAAGCACAGCAAAGGCTGAATGCGATTTTTTGCATAACAAAAGAAGAACGCTTTTAAATAAAGTAAAAGAACTGGAAGATCTAGCTGCTAGGAGAGGTCAATCTGAACAAACTGTTTTTCTGCTTAACAGCAAACAAAAGGATGACCGATTCTACAATGCTAAAACAGGACTGGGCATAACCAACCCACGTAATCTTAAGAAAGTTAACTGTCTTCAAATTTATAACTAATATTACATGGGACTAGGGTTTGGCGAGAAAATGTATTTTCGAAGTGATGAAGACTATGCTGAAGCAGAAGAAGAAAAGAGAAAGAAACCAAAACCTGCGATTTCTTGTGATTATCCCTCAGTAAATGAAAAACAACTTTGAGAAGAAAAACCTACTTCCTGCTTTAGTGAATGCCTTGACCCTTATGCTAAAGATATTCCTCACATAGGACACCCTCTAGACCCTCCCCCAAGAGTAGGTATTGCTAAAACTGGTGAGGAACCGTGTATATTTCCCATGGCTCAAAAGCTCAAAAACTTACAGAAAACTCTTGATGACGAGAGAGAGAGAGATTTGAAACTGAAAAGAAAGGTTTTGAGCGCAACTGGCAGGAACTTCTTCAAAAGTTCAATGATTTGAGTGAGCAGTTTCATGCTAAAACAGACCCTTCTATGACTAAGCCTGACAGCTCACACACCTCACATGAGAAAAACAATGCTTTTAAAGGTTCGTCCACTCATCTCTCTTCTCCTTTGTTTACAGGGAATGAAGTGAATAAGGAAGGAGAAGAGAAGAATGAGTGGAGGAAAAAGAGGAAAGAAATCGCAGATGGCAAAAAGAAAGTTTTTGAGAATAATGCCAGCCCTAGATCTAGTTCTATTTTTTACTCCAAAGTTAATTGTAATTCTGTCTCTACAAAGCAAACTTCTAGTAGTTCAGTCTTGAGTCCCAAGTTGAATATTTCTGAGACATCTTCTAGACAACGTTCTATTTATAATACAAGTGTAGCTTATGGTTATTCTGTTCCAGATCCTCATAATTATGAATGTGATGTGAATGTTGTTAAATCAAAGTCTCCCAGAAAGCTCAAACCTGAAAAAGAAACCAAGAAAGGAACTTCTAAGGGAACATTTTGTATTCCTGATATGAAATATGCCCTTAGAGTTCATTCTAGGAAACATCTTAATCGGCTTTCTAAGGAGGAGATTTTCAAAACCAAACTTAAGAAACAACCGTTCAATCACAAAGCACCTGTCTACTCTCCTCCTAAACCTAAAACAGAAAGATGGGTCCCCAAAATAAAACCCGTCAAAGCTGAAACTGAGAGGTGGGTCCCCAAGATGAGACCTACCACAACTGAAACAGATAGGTGGGTCCCCAAGATGAGACCTATCAAAATTGAAACAGATAGGTGGGTCCCCAAACGAAGACCCATCAAAACTGAAACTGATAGGTGGGTCCCCAAACGAAGACCCATCGAAACTGAAACTGAAAGGTGGGTCCCCAAATATAGACCCACCAGAACTAAAATGGAAAGGTGGGTACACAACATCAAACCCACCAAAATGGAAACTGCTAGGTGGACTCCAAAAACCAGACACACTGCAAAAGCAGATCTGGCTATTGGAAAGCCCACCAAAGATAGATCTTTTGTTGAAAGAGCAGCTGACCTTGGATCACTGCTCAAAGCAAGAATTAAAAAGGTGTTTCTTGATAATAAGGAAGGACCCACTCCAAGTTGGGTACCTAAACCTATTTGATTGTTTTGCAGGACGGTCATGTGTGGCACTTAGACTCAGGATGCTCAACCCACATGACCAGAATAAAGCACCTTTTGAGCAACTACACCAACTGCTACGGAGGCAATGTCAGATTCGGGAATGACGCCTCATCTCCTATCCTTGGGTATGGGGACGTCGTCTGTGCCAGTGTCACAATAAAAGCTGTTTCATTCGTCAAAGGGCTCAAACACAACTTACTGAGCATTGGACAATTCTGTGACAGCGGGATGGAAGTGAGGTTCTTTGCAAAACAATGCTGTGTTCTTGACAGCACAGGGGATACATTATTAACGTGTTACAAAACATCAAATCTGTACACTATTGATCTGAAAAGCGTCCAATCCACCACTTCCATCTGTCTGCTGTCCAAAGCTTCAACTGAACAGAACAACCTATGGCACAGACGTCTCTCCCATCTGAACTTCAAACATCTATCAACCTTGTCCTCCAAGAAACTTGTCAAGGGGCTTCCTCTGCTAAAGTCTTCCGCTAAAAATCATTGTAGTGCCTGCAAAATTGGCAAAATGACGCGAAGCTCCCACAAGTCAAAAACCGAACCTTCATCTACTCATCAGTTGCAGCTAATACACATGGATCTGTGTGGACCTATGAGAGTACAAAGCATCAACGGTCGCAAATACACTCTGGTGATCGTTGATGACTTCTCTAGGTATACATGAACAAAATTTCTCCGTTCAAAAGACGAAGCTGCGGAAAACATTATGACCTTTATCAGAACGATCCAGAAACTGCTACAACACAGTGTTCGAATCGTTAGAACTGACAATGGTACCGAGTTCAAAAATCAGACTCTCACTGAGTTCTATGAATCACTCGGTATCACTCAGCAATTTGCAGCAGCTAAAACTCCCCAGCAGAACGGAGTTGTTGAGAGAAAGAACAGAACCCTTGTTGAAGCAGCACGCACCATGTTAATTCAATCAAGACTGCCTCACTTCATGTGGGCAGAGGCAATCAATACTGCGTGCTTCACTCAGAACAAAACTTTCATCCACAAGCGCTTCGACAAGACTTCATATGAGATCCTATTCAACAAAACTCCTGATATATCTTTCCTCAAGGTTTTTGGCTGCAAGTGCTTCATACTCAATGATCGGACAGAGAGAAGTAAGCTGGATCCCAAAGCCAGAGAAGGCGTGTTCATTGGCTACTCAATGCAATCCAAAGCTTACAGAGTCTATCTCAGAGACAAGCGGACTGTCATCGAGAGTGTAAATGTTACATTCTATGAAATGGCAGACTTTGTTATTGAACATCTCCAGACCGATCCATCAACTGCTGTACCAGTAGCTTCTGATAAAGCTGAACCAAACACCGAACACGACGATGTGATTCTCGACTCTCTCTTCAGAAACTTTTACGAGAACTCACAACCTCCACCTCCTGCATACACTCCAGAGTCAACATCAACTCCAACAGCAGAGATTCCGCTCCTCACAGGACCAGATGATGTACCATCCACACCCTCCACCCCTCAAACCAATCCCAGAGGTGTGGATGATCACGGCTTTGCTATAAGTCCGGAATCATCTCCACTACACACCACAGCTGCCACAGAGCCTTCAACCTCATATCAGGACTCAGATCAACCAATAATTACTCCAACTCCTCTAGCTCATGAGAGGAAGTGGATGAGAGCACATCCTGTTGAACAGATAATAGGTGATCCAAGTCAAGGTGTGCGAACAAGATCAGCAACAACAAATGAATGTCACTATGCATGCTTTCTAAGCAAAAATGAACCGTCCAAAGTCTCCAAGGCACTCGCTGATCCAGATTGGGTGATTGCCATGCAAGATGAGCTAAATCAGTTTGACAGACTAGACGTGTGGACACTCGTGCCTAAACCCCCTCAGAAAACCATCATTGGCACTAAATGGGTGTTCAAGAACAAGAAGGACGAAGAAGGCATAGTGATACACAACAAGGCACGACTGGTCGCTAAAGGATATAATCAGCAAGAGGGCATAGACTATGATGAAACTTTTGCACCCGTAGCAAGAATTGAAGCAATCCGCCTTTTTCTTGCGTACGCGGCCCACAAGAACTTTACCGTCTTTCAAATGGACGTCAAGACTGCCTTTCTGAATGGAGTCTTGGAAGAAGAAGTCTATGTCGCTCAGCCCGAAGGATTTGTAGATCCCAGATATCCGGACCATGTGTACAAGCTAAAGAAAGCTCTGTATGGGCTGAAACAGGCACCAAGAGCTTGGTACGATGCCTTAACCGAATTTCTAGTTGACTCAGGTTTCTCAAAAGGGAAGATTGTTACCACACTTTTCATCAAACGACAGAAGTCTGACATCATCCTGATTCAGATCTATGTTGATGACATTATCTTCGCCTCCTCAAATCCACGTCTGTGCAAACACTTTGAGAAACTGATGAAAACCAAGTTCGAGATGAGCATGATGGGCGAACTGAATTTCTTCCTAGGCCTGCAAGTAAGACAACTCTCTGACGGCATTTTCATCAATCAGTCCAAGTATATTCTGGAAATGCTTAAGAGATTCAACATTGATGGCAAATCTTCCATGACGACCCCCATGTCCCCAAACAACAAACTGGACTCAGACCCCTCCGGGAAGCCTGTTGATGCTACAAACTACAGGGCCATCATTGGATCTTTGCTATATCTCACGTCAAGCAGGCCTGACATTGTCTTCTCCACATGCTTATGTGCACGCTTTCAGGCAAATCCAAAGGAATCCCATCTGACCACTGTTCGAAGAATTCTGAGATACCTCAAAGGCACTGTGAATCTAGGCCTTTGGTATCCCAAGCACTCAGGTTTTGAACTAGTCGGATACTCGGATGCTGACTTTGCTGGTTGCCGGATGGACCGCAAAAGTACATCGAGAGCTGTCCAGTTCTTGGGCGATAAGTTAGTCTGCTGGTCTTCCAAGAAACAGAACTGTGTGTCAACATCTACGGCCGAGGCAGAATACATCGCGGCTGCTAGCTGTTGTTCACAAATATTATGGATGAAGACCCAGCTTAAGGACTACGGTTACACTCTCTGCCATATCCCGATCTACAGTGACTCACAGAGCGCCATCGCCATCACCAGCAACCCGGTTCATCACTCCCGCACCAAACACATCGACCTGCGATATCATTTCATCAAGGATCACGTGGAGAAAGGAGATATTGACATGTATTTTGTAAGCTCAGAGCTTCAACTGGCTGACTTGTTCACTAAGGCATTGGATGAAAAAAGATTCCAGTTCCTAGTCTCCAAGTTGGGCATGTTGAACCTCGAGCCTGTTTAATTATGTCTCCACTGATCTGCAAAGTGTGTGTGTGGGGACTTGTAAATAGTGTGTGTGCGTTGCATGTGTTGAGGGGGAGAAAATCAAAAATAACAAAAAATAGTGTGTGTGCGTTGCATGTGTTGAGGGGGAGAAAATCAAAAATAACAAAAAATAGTGTGTGTGCGTTGCATATGTTGAGTGTGTGTGAAAAATCAAAAATAACAAAAAATAGTGTGCGTGTGTTGCATTTGTTGAGTGTGTGTGAAAAAATAAAAAAGAACAAAAAATAGTGTGTGTGCGTTGCATTTGTACATATTGTTCGTTGCATTTTTTGAGGGGGAGAAATTTTTCACTGTTTGAGGGGGAGCTATTTTTCACTGATTAAGGGGGAGCTCTCTATTTTTTACTGTTTGGGCCTCGAAAATTTTTAAAGAGCACTGTGTGCCAGCCCAATCTTTCGGGCTCAACTGTTAGGGAGGAGGTCCAAAATTTTTCTCTCGCGTATAAAAGCCTCGCGAAAACCCTTATCCTCCATTCCGTTTTTTACAAAGGACAAAAGATTTCGCAAGGCAGAGCTCTCAACGTTTCTTCTTCCTCGACTACTCAAAAACCTTCGTTTTCGAAATCTTCATCTTCCGTTCCTAATTCATAACTACTTCGAAGGTAGTAATCAGTTCGAAATCAAAATCTTCAAACTTCTTTCGAAAAACGAACGATAGTTTCTCGCAGAACGATCGACTTTTCTCAAAAACAAAATCAATTAGGGTTTTTTCGTTTAATACAGGTCGACATCGTTTTTGGTATATCTTGTTTATGATTTTGCAGGTGGATTCTTCGTTTCGAAATCACGATTTCGAGTTTTGGATCTCGAGATCGTCGGTTCAACTTCTCGAAATCAAGATCTCGAGATGGGCATCTCGACATCTTGATCTCGAGATTTGAATCTCGAAATCAAGATCTCGAGATCTGTATCTCGACATCTTGATCTCGAGATTTGAATCTCGAAATCAAGATCTCGAGATTTGGATCTCGAAATCATGATCTCGAGATTCAGATCTCGAGATTTGGACTTAGAAATTTTTTTCAAAACTCCATCTGCATAAACTTATCTGACATACGCAAATCAAATTCTTTCAAAATCAAATCAAACAGTTGAACTTCATGTGCTGACCCCATGCTTCTACAGTTTAAAATGGCAGGAAACACAAAAGCACAGATCGATGATGCCATCTACTCTCAAAAAAAATGGATCAAGGTGCTGGACAACAACTTCCAGCTAGACCTTGCAGTCTTCAAATGCCAGAACCCGATCGTTCCAGCCATCATGAATGGTCACTATCTCTGGCCTGCACTTCACAACTCAAAACCGGTGCCAGAGATATACCTACAACAGTTCTGGGGGCACATGCATACAAAATCTCCGAAAGATCGCTCAAAAATAAAGACCAAGCTGAATGGTATGCGCGTGATCCTGACGCCATCAACACTACAATCTACATTAGCGCTGCCAGTCCGAGATACATATGATGCGCTACCGTCCATTCCCGATCTACTGAAAGACATAGCATCACTAGGCTACACGTCTCTACTGCCACAACTGTCAAACTTCAACGGCGCGTATCTCAGTCACCCGTGGAAGAATCTCTTCGGGCTAGTGAACAAATGCTTGTCTCCAAAGCTTGCTGGCTTCGACAAATGCAACAAGCAAATTCTGCTAGTTTTCCACGGGATTGCCTTCAACAAACATTATGACTTGGCAAAGCTCTTCTTCTCAGAGCTAATGGACCTGGTCAAGGCCAAAGAAAAGAATAGGCCAGGTACCATTCCATACGCTAGATGGCTCGGGCTGATCATACACGACTGCATGGCAGAGCACGTCTCCATACCAAGACGCAGTACTGATCCTCACTTCACAGCACCGAAGCTACAGTACTTCAAAGCAGACAAGAATCCTACTTATGGTCTGAAGATACCTGGATTTCTGCTAAAGCTGGTAAAATCTTCAAATCCAGCAGTCCAACAATACAAAGAAGCCTCAGAGAAGACCGTCCCTATGGTTCAGCAAAACCCAGCTGGACCTACCCAAGGGACAAAGCCGAGTGTGAGTAAGGGTCCCAAGAGAGCCCAAAAGCCACAGAAACCAGTGGCCGGTTCGCCCAATGAAGGAAAGTCTGACGACTCTCTTGAGACGAGTCAGGCGGCTGAGGGCACCGAAAAAGACGCTGAGGAAACGGCCAATGAATCGTCAAGTGAAGCCCAAACAAACACTGACGACGAGGCTTCCGAGAGCGTGGGCACGGAGAGCGGAGAATCTGGCTCGGATGATGACGATGATGACAACGATAGTGATGATGTGGAGCTCACTTATGCCCTGATCAGAAAAGGGAAGCTGCCAGTCGAATCTCCGAAGAAGAGAAGAATTACTGCTGAAGACGCAGCACCAATTATAGCTGGCAGACCTCAAGTCTTCACGATCAAAGAAAGAGCTAAACCGAGAGCCGATCCCAGCGAGACAAATTGCTCCAAGGATGACTATGACGAGGCGGCTCATTCGATTAAGGCATCAATCAACTCGGAAGAAGTCGTCATCCGAGAGACCAGGGCAAAGGTCAAGAATGACAAGGCTGCCAAGGCCAAGCCCCAGCCCCAAGCCAGAAAGAGCCTGTTTGATAAAGCAGACGAGCACATCTTCGCGGGCTGCGACTCCTTTATCCAGATAAGCCGAGCCGAATCCCTAAGCACAGGAGCTGATCTTTTCGGTTCCCGGGTAGAAGTCGCAGCATCTGGCTCAACTGCGCATGCACAGCCCTCTCAAAAGGCTATTGTTTCAAAAGAACGGGACTCAACCCCCCCGCTGGTTCCTTCTGAATCAGTTGAGCATACAATTGACCTATCTCCCGAGGTCAAAACCCCTTCTTCTCTCACATCGAGTCTAGGTGTCACATTCCCCACATTTTCTTCATTTTCTAGGACACCTACACTATTCACTGCACATACAGGTGCACTCACCCTGAACGCAACAACCAGAGCGCAAGCTATGACGGTTGGAAGCCCTGCTACGCCCATAATGATTCCATCATTAAATGCAGACCACACATCAGCAATCTTCACTGATGCTGTGTCAACAGTTACAACCCCCGTAACTGGTCACCCTACCTTTGAAGACGTAAACGTTCTACTGAATCGCTTCCTGGATTCCACCATTAAGCCATGGGTGCAAGATGCAATGACCGCTCTAGCACAGGAATTTAGGACCACCCAAGCGGTTCGGTCTGAACAAACACCACCCCAACCTTCCCCTGAACCGTTCATCTCCCATACACAACCCATATCCTCCACCCCTCTATCCCACCAATCCATAAACCAAATTCCTATCCCTTCTATTTCTCGGGGAACCCAGGATACAGAACCAGTATTCTCCCCACACCCGACCACACCCTCCATCGATCTCTCCTCACTATCCTTTGACACACTAGCTTCGGCTTTGCTGAACAACCTCTTAAACACCCCAGAAGACAACCTCACTCTTCATCAGCAAGCCATACTTGAAGCCCTTCTTTCTTCACTCGAAACCAAGAGCACTTGCAAGGAGAGTCTTCGTGGTCGCAAATGTTCCCATGAGGACCCCGATGATTCGGATCCTCATGAGGGGGAGAACAAGCGACCTCGATCACTTGAGCAAACTGCTCTACCAAGCCAAACTCCACAGCCAATCCAACCTGAAACCTCAACAAACCAACAGCCACCATCCACAGCCAAACTATCTAGCATGGTCGAGCTAGAAATAACATCCCGAGGCGTATCTCCCAGAGATACCAACCGAGGAGGGGATGGAAGTCCTGATGATGTTACCACTGGTACATCTTCTCCATCAGGCCGTCAGTTCGAACCCAGTTCTAAGCTGATGTCAACGGGCAATCCCAGTGAACTCGGTAGTGCTACACAGGAACAATCACCGCCTGAACAAAGAATTCCATATATTTCCCCAGGCAAAGACATCCATGATGCACTGGAAGAGGCGGTGATATATGACAAATGGCCAAGAAAATGGACAGAATGGGATGATCTTCGGGTTGAAGCCGAACAAGAGGACATGCAAAGAAACTGGTGGCTACGAGAGCTAATCAACAAATGCTCTGAAGATATTATAAGGCTCGAGGACGATGAACGCAAGGAAGGGGAGAATTACAAAGAATCCCAGAAGACTCTAGAATCGGTCGTAAGACAAACAGCGGGAAGACTTCCCAAGACAGAGAAACCCTGGGATAATGTTCGCATCAAAGCCCCCTTCAAAGAAGAAATCAGAGAGCATATCTGGCGTAGACCAGACAGAGTCAAGCCACTGAATGAACTGAAGCTAAGAGGTCTTACTCACTTAAAAGGAAAGCAGGTTGGAGGTCATCTGCATATGTTGCTACAAAGGTCAACCGGTACACAGAGAGAACTGATGGAACAAGATCTGAAGTCGAATATTCTCCCGATTCATCAAATTCTGCAAGTGAAGGCTGAAGACTATCATGGAGTAACATTCTACACTTACAGACTTCAACGCACTGATGGGAGCGAATTTACTTGTCAAGAGAACGACTTCATAATGCTGAAACCGGATGACATCTACCAAATGTTCATGGCCTACAGATACCTTCCAGTCAGGCAGAACATAATATACAGCGAAGGCCTCGCAGCTATCAAGAGATTCATGCTTAGACAAATTCGAGTACACTCTTCACACGACCTACAGATGGCTATTGAGTGCAATCTGAAAAAGACAAATCTGACAAAGCCAAGACTGTATGGTCCAGAACTTGAAGATTTCCCAGCCTACCACATCTTCTTCACACCGCCAGCAGTCACCTATCTGAACCACAAGAACGAAAAACGTTTGATGGTAGTCAGTGAGATTGAGAAGTACTGTGACGGAACACTGAAGATAATCAAAGAGCAGATTCTAAAGATGAAGGCAAAGCTAGAAGAAAATCTTCAAGAGGCATCGTCTTATGTTCAAAAGGAACACTCTACTGTAGAGACAATTTTAAAGGCCATTGACGATCGCCTCGAAAAGAGAAATGTGCTGAGGCAATATGAGCATGCACTTGGTATGAGGAAGCACTACTTCAAGTCTCAGAAGCAATAAGAGGATGACACTTGATCACAAAGGGGGAGATTGTTGGAGATATTTAATTGTGAATCAAGTTGGTCATAGATTAGATTTATATTTAATACTTGTATTTAATTAGTGCATGAATTAGATAGAAATCAGGCCAAGTGTTAGGCCCATATAAACAGGCTAAAAGCCTGGTACGCCTAACCTAAACCTCGCCTATAAAAAGGGAGCCGAGGTTTAGGAATAAAAAGAACGTCGTACTTATTATTCATAGCCTTACGCATATCATTCTGTTGTACGTGTCCACGGTTTATCAAAGAAGGTTTTACGGTGATTCATTCTGTGTTCATCTTTACGTTTAATCTTCCTTGTTAGATCGATTATTCATTGCTGTTACAGAAACAGGGACTAACCGTTTTCTTCTTTGCGGAGTAATTTATCTCTTATTTTCGCAATGTGTTATTAGAGCTACAATATTTCTGTTGTGTACCATTTGTTTCTCGTATCATATTTTAATATATCGAATTTATTTACAAATATGATTTAGTACAATGTCATGCCTAAGGGGAAGTTGGAACTCTGCAAGTTCTGGTCATGGGCGCGGTTGAGAACGTGGGGAATGTCCTGGGAGGCCCGCTCTCGTAATGAAGAGCAAAACTCTCCACTGTCTGATTCACATGAATCTGTCCAATTGAGAGTTGTTGAACAAGAGATTGGTTCTGGTTCTGGTACGCTTGATCCTCCTATTTCTAAAATTTGGATCATTCCTGAAGATATGTCAAGGTATTTGTTTTTAATTTGGGTAATCAGAAAAATACTTTGTTTTTCTTGACTGTGACTTATTTGTGTTTGCTGTAATGTTAGTTTTTAATTTGGTTTTCAAATAATTTAGCAATCCTGCTGTGCTTGACACCATTATCCACTTTATGACCACTAACTACCATGGAGCTTGGCCTTCTTATCATCAAGCTTCTGAGGCAGTAAGGGAGCATTGGTGGCATTTATTCTCGATATGGGTTCCAATAGTTTTTAAATTGTTCTGAAAATCATTGTTTTATCTAATATGCTTTTCACATTGTTCTAATTTGAATGATTAGAACAAGTATGAATGGGAACCCCGTTTCACCAAGAAAATAAAAAGGATGCATGGTACTCGGGCTTCTGGATTGTTGAGTAAGAATCTCGGCAGGGCGGCGTCTGATACTAAACCAGAATGGATCTCGGAGGCTGATTGGGCTACTCTGAAGGAATATTAGAGCACAACTTCTTTCAAGAAAAAAGCGAGGCCAGGTCAAAAAACAGGAACTCTGACGCTGCTAAGCACTCTCAATACAGGGGCGGTCGTATACCAATGTCTGTCCACACTAAAAAAATGGTATATGATGTATTCAACTCTAATTGTATTTTAGGTTGTTTATATTTTGTTTGACCTTATAATAAAATTGGTTAATTTGTTTATTGTTAGGCTCAAAGTTTGAAACGTAAACCTTTGAGAATTGAAGTTTTTGAAAAAGTGTTGTCCGAAAGTTGGTGATCCTCCACTTCGGGTGGTTGAAACCCGGGTGAGTTTTCTGCCAAGGCTCCATAGAATCTGAGATGTGTTTTTTTCCCTGATTAAAAAATTCTAATTTATGTGACAGAGGAAATATAATGAGTTGAAATCTCAAGCTGAATCTGAAGGGAAGTCCTACTACACCGTCCCACAGTATAGGGGTCGCCGGTATGGGACAGGGTGTGAAGCCATGAACTTAATTGACTGATAGTGATGGTTGTAGCGGAGCTGGTGGACTGAGTCAAGAGGATATCGATGTGATTGTGTAGGAAAAGGTTGAAGCTCGCTTTGCCGAACAGGTGACCCTTATTTGACATGCCCCAAATGGCGTCGGCCGGACAGAGCATCCTAAATATGGCCTTATTTGACATTTTTTTTCAAGTTTGAGGCCCTATCTGACCCTTATCCCAAAAATATATTAGCCGTACTGTGTACGACATATTTTTTTAATTTATTTTGTTTATTGGCACGGATGAATTCCCATCCATATCCATCTTCATATTCAAATGATAAACGGTTACTTTTAGCTCGGAATTCAGTTGGCAGGGCATCATCCTAGACAAACTCGTTGGTGACATAATCAACAGTTGTCTCAGTTTATCGGAGCCAAACGCGGAGACAAACGTTGGAACGGAAGCCGAAATCGATCCAACACATTTGGAAGGGCCGTAGTGTCACACATTTTGAAACCCTGCCAAACACCGTGCCAAACCCGTTAGACTCAGAATAGTGGCTTGATTTCAATGCCAAAATCCTTGCCTAATAGGAGCTTTTTTGTATTGTATATTAATATATACTACATCCCTTCCACTAACATTGAGATAAGATGGGTGACACGGTTTTAAGAAAATTGAGTTTATGTGTTTATTATTGAATTCATAAAGTAAAAATAAAATAAAATTGATTTTGAGTCACACAAACTTTACCAAATTTGGTATGAGACAACCTTAGTTGGATTTGTTAGATAACTCCAGATATCCAGAATAATTTCAGAAATATTAGCAAGAACCAGTGAGCATTTATTTGATGATGATGGACAATTACAGTAGCGAACAAGCAGTTATGGCCGAAGCCCCCAATGAGCCAAAGCCCCCCAATAGAAAGAGAATAGCTCTCGATCTTCCCAAGTCCCAAAATGACAAAGTCTCAGACAGCCTACCCGACTTCTCCCCAGTTTAGTCTATTTATACTCACTAATACACTTATTATTATTCTTGGTTTATTAGGCCCAATTCCTAACAGTCCATTAGGCCCAATCCCTAACAATACTCCCCCCTAAACATCCACCTTGCCCTCAAGGTGGGTGATAGGACACAACCCCCATCTTTATCTTTTCTTTCATCCTAGCACTTCTTCCTTTCCAATACTGGCATGATTTCTGGACCCTTAGCTTGGCTGATTCCATCTTTTTTCCTATGTATTTCACAGCAGAATTACACAACTGCCATGACGTTTTATCCAGAATTGACTTGAAAACTTCAGGGTACTCCTTTATAAGCTCGTTCCTTCTGCCTTCAATTATCTGTTCTTGCTTCTGCTTTGTGCTTTGTCCTTCACAGTACAACCAATACCCATCACCTTGAATAACATGATGCAGCCCTTGTTTCTTCCATTTTATGATCTGGGTTTGGAAATTAACTTCCATAACACCTAGATCAGTCAACCATTCCAATCCTAGCACCATGTCAGTCCCACCAAGCTCCAACATATAAAAATTCTGTTGAATTTCATTTCCCGGTACATTCAGCTTCATTCCTTCACATCTACCGTAGTTAGGAATCAATTCTCCATTGCCTATTTGTACCATATATGCCTTGATACTTTGGAAAGGTATCTTCCATCTTTCTACGAGTTGCTAGGAAATAAAGTTGTGGGTAGCACCACTATCAATTAAAATATTCACCTTCTTTCCTAGCTTAGTCAGCCATTTCAGATCTCCCAGAACCTTGAATGTTCTCATGGGTGCATATAATTGCATAGTCTTAACTTCCATATGTATTCCTTCTTCTCCCTTACTTCTATTACAGTCAGTATCAGATTCATCCTCCCCTTCGGATTGTTCTACTAGCATCATCTTAAAATTTTTCATTCTACAAATGTGACCCCGATTCCAGTTTTCACCAAATTTAAAACAAAGTCCTTTCTTGCTTCTGTCCATTAGTTCTTCTTGGGATAACTTGGGACTCGTATTCTTAGACACACAACTGGGACCTTCCTTTCTGAAATTCCAGCCCTTATTATCTTCATTGCTCTTATGATCTATTGAAAAATTGTCCATACTAGCAGAAGTGTAAGGATGGCTTTTCCACCTGCTTTCATCTCCCCATTTCTGGCCTGAAAACTGGATTATAGGTTTGTTTTGCCCTTTTCTCTTTCCTTCCTCCTTATTCTTCACAAACAAGGTTTCAGAATTCTTGTTCTCAATCGCGGAAGCAGTATCCATAACTTCTGCCAATGTTCTAGTACGATGCAACTTCAATTCAGCTCTTATATCTCTTTTCAATCCCTTAAGAAAGACCCTCTCAAGACCTCTTCAGTTAAGTGGCCTTGTGAAGCGATAGCAGTTTCAAATTTGTTTCGGTACTCCTGAATTGTCCCCTTCTGCTTCAGGTTAAACAGAGGCCCTAGCGGATCCTGTTCCAGACCAGGTTGAAATCGCTTGGTCAAAGCTTGAGTAAAAGTATTCCAATTCTGCTGCAATGCTTGTCCTTCCCACCACTAGAACCAGCTGAGTGCTTGATCCTCCATGGCTATCACAGCTACATCAATCTTATCCACTTCCTCAGTTTTGTTCAACCTGAAGTAACAGTTCATCCTCAGTAACCAGCCACAGGCGTCTTCTCCATTAAAAATAGGTAGATCAATCTTCTGTCCAGCTTGGTGATGATTTCTCTGTCTTCGATGATGATTATGTCTCGATACAGAATGATCAGAATGACTATCGTTGCTTTCTGAGCTTTCATCATTCCTCGATCGTCTGTGTCTATTCGAGCGATGAGACGTACTTGAACGATGCGATCGACTCCTCAACTCCTTGTTCGATCGATCTGTAACTTCACGATTCAGCTTGCATCGCTGCCTGCATCGCCGCCATTCGCTCCACCAAAGTATTCTGCATCTCCGGCATATTTCTCTCCGTCCTTTCTTCCAATTCGTTGATTCTGCCTTCCATTTTCGCTCGCGTGAGTCTAATCTATCGATCGACTCGCTCTGATACCAATGTTAGATAACTCCAGATATCCAGAACAATTTCAGAAATATTAACAAGAACCAGTGAGCATTTATTTGATGATGATGGACAATTATAGTAGCGAACAAGCAGTTATGGCCGAAGCCCCCAATGAGCTGAAGCCCCCCAAAAGAAAGAGAATAGCTCTCGATCTTCCCAAGTCCCAAAACGACAAAGTCTCAGACAGCCTACCCGACTTCTCCCCAGTTTAGTCTATTTATACTAACTAATTCACTTATTATTATTCTTGGTTTATTAGGCCCAATTCCTAACAGTCCATTAGGCCCAATCCCTAACAGGATTTCACGAAAAAGTATAATGAGACAATCTTAGCGAGACAAAAGGTGTACTACGTAGTATATTTCGTGGATGAGTACAGGGTTATATGTAATAATTCATACTCCCTCGGTTTTTCCATACCATAAAATTTTTCTCGGTTTGACTTGAATTGCAGTTTAAGAAAGTGGGAATAAAATGAAAATGTATATGATCAAAACATTGTAGTTTTGCATGAATTAAAAGTTGATCATCTGCCTTTGAAAGTTTAGTTAAAATTTTTGGAGTTTTGGATTCAAGTAAATAACCCGCCAGTAGGTTATTTGGGCATGACCCTAATGGTGACGAAATTATTGGCAACTCCCTAGGAAGGTTTGTTAAGTTAGATGAGAATCTGTTTGAAGGGCATCGGAGGGTTTACTTGAGAATCATGGTGTGCATAGATATAGGGAGACGTCTGAAGAACATATGAAAGTTCAGAAAGAAAATGGTGGTTGTCTTTGGGTGGATCTCACGTACAGAAAAACTCCCCAACTTTTGTTTTCCTAGTGATGTTATTGGCCATGCAGGTAGGTTTCGTCCTCCGATTTTAGGACACCACACCTCCGTGAATAAGAGCAAACGGTGGGCGAAGTGGTGAAATAGGGGGAATTAATAGTTGCTTCTAGAGAAGGGCAATGGGTGGTACGGAAGGGTCCCAATCTTTGAGAACCCCAGTGGAACCTGTCTCTGGCTTCGATGCAAGGGAGTTTAGTGGTAATGGAAAGCAGACGACATGCGTACAAGTGGTGGAACCACTACTAGAAAAATAGTTATTTGATGCGGTTATTTTAAGCTATTTGTCGTGGTTCTGAACCGCACCAATTGGCACGACAACAAATAGTAAGAGGTTAGGTTAAAAAGCGGTACGAAGATGGAGAAAAGTGGTGGAAAAAACAGGATTCAACGAGCTCACGTTAACACGCTTGATGAGAACAATGCAGAGTTACTGTGCACTCTGGCACTTATATTTGTTTCAATTCTAATTTCATTCTCACACTTTCGGTTTTTTTTCTGATTCATATTTAATTGTATTAGTTAGGACAGTAGGGAGTATTATATTTTTGATTGTTTTCTGGACACATGTTGTGGATTATGCGTGAGGCAGGTATTTCCATGTGGTCCTTATAGGCAATTTTCCCGATAAGTGGTTAGTGAATCACTGTGATTTAATTTGCTAGTTCAAGTAGTTTTATGTGTAATTTTAGGGCTGATGATCCAATTTGGGGTGCTTCTTTGGTGGTTGGTTTGTGTGATCTTGAATTTTTGATAAATCAAAATATAGGCTTTTTTCGTTCAAAAAAATCCTTGGAGTACAATAAAAAAGAACGATCCAGGACCGGACCAGCCGTTGCGCTCCCAAAAAAAACCCATTTCGGAATCGGCACCTGTTAGCGGAGCCCTTAGGGCCGGTCTCCTAATCGAACCTGGCAAAAGCAGTCCTGGCTCTTACTGGTGTCCTGGTCCAGTCCCAGGAACCGCTCGGTTCCTGTTAGACCGGTCATACCCCTAGCTCTCACTATGGAGTATGGATGCCACTAGTGAGGAGAAACGATCAACCATGTGTATGCATGAACCGATTTTCTCTCGTCTGTTCTCTATCAGTGTCCACGATTGAAGTCCCCAACAAGTTGATCATCGACAATTAATGGCACATGCTAATTGACCATTCATGATCGTTGGAACTTGGAACGTATGTAATAACCTACCTTAACTTGAATTATTATTTCATAATAAAACTTTACAATTATTGGGTAATATCAGTGGCGGACCCAGAAAGTCGGAGCCACGGAGTCTTTACCCTTTTATATCTCTAATCTCTAATTAATACAAGTATAAAACTAATAAAAAATTGATCCAATTCTTCATTTACTAATGACGAATCATTTGAATTAACACCTGAACTACTCCCGGTACTCTAGGTTTCTTTAAATTTGGGTACAACATCAAAATATCTTTTCATCCTCAATCGTATAAAATTGAAAATAACATTTATAAATACATGAATTTGTTAATTTAATCTATCATTAAAAAAAAGATATGCAAAGAAAAGCAGCAGAGAAAAAAAACTGGGCGATTGATGTGCTTATTTTTTACACACTTTTTAGGCTTAGTTTGTTGATAATTATAGTTATTGTAGTTGTACTTTTGTACATATTTTTATTATTTCTCGTTAATTTGTATTGGTGCAGTCATATGCGTGTATTTTGTATTTTCTGGCACATTTGATGTTATTTGGATACATTTAGCGTGAAGAATTGAAAAAAATAAAAGTTCAAGTTGGAGAA